ACTATCTAGAGATAAATAAATACCTAATTATATAAAAGAACTGTAACCAATTTATACAGGTTAACCTTCAAGTCATAATTAGAATTGATATACCTGCTTTCCAAATATGACTTGATGTATAGCAAGCAAAATAGTATTGAAAATAGTGGAAAGTGAATACCTTTTTGCATAAAAATGCTGCAGCCACTTTATACAGGTTTGTTTCTAAGTTATAAAAAAAATTTAACATACCCATGCTTTTTATGTAACAAAAGTATCCTATAAGTAGAGTTCATATTGATTTTCTTAATAGTATCAGGACCTAACCTTATACAATGGACTTACATTGTTCAAGAGATAAGTAAGAAACTTTTGTTATTATTATTAGCTCATTTGTAAGGATAATTAGAATTCCTGATTATTACATATTATCTTACTAAATTTCTTAATCACTAGTATAATATCTGCAACCAATCTAGCTTATTGCTAATTATATTAATATTGATTATTATTTCATTTTGGATATTATGGAGTACAACTTCTTGGATACTTTTGAATAATAATAATTATACAGAGGTTTCTTGACATATTATTAATTAGTAAACAATATTGAATTTGATAATGATAATTATAATATTAATCTTTTGAAGAAGATAAGTTATCTATTCTTTTTTAAGAGACCATAATATAGAAAATTTTTCTGAAACCCATATTCTAAAAAAGATTATTATTTCTTAGTATAATTCTTGAGAGAAGAAAATTAACTAACCAGAAAGTAATATTATAGAAATGGAATTTTCAAAAGAAAGAAAAGTCTAGAAAGAAAAACCTTTAAGAAAAAGAGAAAATCTAGCTTTGGCAAAGAAAAAAGAGTATAGAGTATAAAAAAGTATATAGAAGTGAGAGAAGAAATAAGAAAGAGGAAATAAAGTAATATAGAAAAGAAAAATAGAAAGCAGAGGAAGAAAAAAATAAGAAAAAAATAAAAAACTTAAAAAAATTTTTAAAAAGAAAATTTTTAAGCATAGAAGGAGAAGTGAGAAAGTGATTTTTTTTTTCTATTATTACTTAGAATTTAATTATTTTATAATAATAAGAATATTAGGAAATAAGTTATAATTAAAGATCTTAATAATTTGATTCAATTCAATTTTTAATTTTTAAATTTATATTAAATTTAATATATGAACTATAACTTATTATTATTTTTAATAATGTTTTGAATTTTATACAAGTTTGTATAAGTTTGATTTCAATTTTTGGAACTATAATTACAATAATAAGTCTTATATTAAATTTTTTTTTGATAAAAAAAAATATATATTATATTAAACATATTGTAATTTTATATTCTATTCTATAAATAAAAATTATAATTAGAGTTTTTAATTATATTATTTTGATACTATTTTAATATCAGCTTGAATACTTAAATTTATTATAAATTAGTAACATTTTAATACGATTTTAATATTAGTTTAATATTTTTTAAAGTTTTAATTATAATAAAGTAAAAATATAATAATTGCTTATTTTTTTCAATAAAAAATTATTTTATAATACTGTAATATATAATATAATATATTTTTATTTTTATTTATAAATAAAAATATTATTAATTAATTATTATTATTATTATTATTTTATAAATAAATATAATAGTATCAATAGCAAAGTAAGTAATACAAAATAAATTAATGTCATGTTTTTTTTATTTTAATTATTCCTTCATTAACTAATTTAAAATTTAGTCAGAATGTTTGATACCTTGATGTTACTTATTAACTTGGTTTTTCGAATTAATGCTTTGATTGATGGATCTTTTGTCAAATTTTCTTTAATAATTTTAATACACTTCAATATTACATAATATAATAAATAGAGTGAGACATTTCTCCGTTCTTTCTTGATATAATGTAAAAATCCTATCACTTGTACACAATTCCCATGCTAAATGCTAAGTTCAATGTTATAAATATAAGGCCTTTTGATAAAAATCTAACAACAAACCAAGCTTATTAATTATTTTTTTATGGATTATCAAGGTAAGTTATCATAAGATAAACATTGCCATTTTGAACACATGACATATTAAGTATACCCAACACAATACTTGAATAATTAACCAATCATTTGTAATAGAAAAGACACGAAAAAACAACTGACGAGATGACCTATACTAATTTTCCAAAGGACACTAATATACAACAATAGTGATTGTACCTTACAATCACGTGATACATAAGTGATAGCGGCATATCAATTTAACGGAGTTTTTTATTATACAGTATAACTCATTTACAGTTAATGCAATTAATGTCCTTCGGACAATTAGAAGTTGGATTTTTGGGTCACGATTACATGATGTATTTTCGCATCACGACAAAAATATTTGGCATGATAGCAATCGATAGTTATGGTAGTGTGATGAGTGCAAGAAACTATACAATCGTGTATTTACTGTACAAGCTGATTTAAACGATAGAGGATGAAGAGGGCACCAAGGAATGTATGAATAGGGATGTTGTTTCATGTGTTAGCGATAGTCCTTCGAACTTTAATGGTTCCCATTTACTTAGTTATTAATCAAAAAATAACATGCATTCGACTTGGATCAAAAGTAATACAGCAGAATTATTGTTCAGATTTGTGTTACATTTCATAATGTTGCAAAAAACTTCTGGTGGCTGGCGTTGGATGTATTATGAAATGAAGAATGGTAAGAAATAGAGCTCAGCTCAATTCACGAAAATTCAGAGTTTCATCTCTCGGAAGAACTCAGTTACCAAATGGTGAGGTCATTACATATAGGTTATCGAAAATCGCTCGAGAAGGATATCTTGTTTATCGGTTGGTGGCGTTAGCATTTTTTTTCCAAAGAAGGAAAAGAATATGTAAGTCATATTGACGGGAATCCTACTAACAATAGCGTATCCAAACTCGAATGGTGTACACAGAAAGAAAACACTTAACACGTTGTACGTCTTGGGTTTAGTAACTTCAAGGATAGTAACAAATACCAACGTCCTATCAGGCAGATTTTTGATGGTGGTTCTACTCGAGAATTTCCATCCATAGCTGAAGCACAACGTACAACTGGAATTAACCGGTCAAATATTAGTGAAGAATGTCGAGGATTCCAAGCCTATGCTGGAGGTTATCGCTGGGAATACGTGATACATGATAAACATTGAATTATTTAATAAATACGAAAATTTGATTATTAAAAATAGATTGCAAAAAATATCACAAAATCGGCAATACTTCAAGTGAATGCGGAATGTACCTAATATACCTGTCTATTGTTTCTCGATTTTTTAGTTGCTGATTCATCGCTGGAAGTTTGCATCAATGCAATAGGAGTAATATCAGCCAGTTGCGAGACGCACTCATCACCCGCCAGACGCACTATTGGGCTAGCAAAAGGCCCGGATATTTTCTCCATCTCGTACATCCACCGGGACTCACCCATCACCCGCCAGACGCACTATTGGGCTAGGTGGAGACAAGAAGTTTATGCATCATGCT